ATTTATTGTAGAGATGAGGTCTCGCCAAGTTGCCCCAGGTGGGTCTTGAACCCGCAGGCTCAGGCAAATCCACTCACCTCAGCCTCCCAAAGCGTGGGATTACAGGCTGAGCCACCGAGTCTGACTGCAATCATATTTTCTAACTAAAATTTCAAATAATCTTATTCTTTCCTTTACAAAACAGTGACCTCCTCAACACTGTATACTGAGGATGCTGTTACTAATTTTTCTACCCAGAAAGCATTTTGTTATCAATACTTAAAAATGTAATCTTTTTTCTCTTTGCTGTCATCTGTAATCTACAAATCTGCCATCTAGCTAAACATCCTTTTACTGCCAGTTTGCCTGATTCATTCCTTCCTGGAATAGTAGCACTGCTTTTGTTCTTACAGCATCACCCATGCAGTTCTTGGCAAAAGCACATTCATTATCTTATTCTCATACTGAATTTTTCTCTAAGTACAAGTACAGTGCAAATGTTCTTTCAGCAATACAACTCAAAAATGTTTTTACTTTTCAAAACAAACACCTCTCAAATTTTCCAAGTATTCTGGGAAAGTACATATCTTAAGATTCTAAATAGTGTAACCATCTGATTGCTATGTAAAATGGGAAGATCTTATTTATAAACAGACAATCACCTTGAGAGTTTCATAGATAAAATTACATTAAAACCTGGTGCAGAAATTATAGTGTGGATTTAAATGTGGGAGAGAGTCCATGTTCCAGGTTCTGGGAGTGAGGGTCCATCACATGCAGGACTTATCTACGTCTTGTCATTGAGCCCTTGATGTGTAAAAGCACTCACACAAGTCAGGTATGGCATGGGGTCCTCAACACCTTACTAATACCTACTAAAAGTCCTCTTCTCTAAGACTAGCCTCCCTGGTTACTGGAGAAGAAGTAGCTGCATGAAGAAAGCATGGATCATAAAATCCACTTACTCAGGTGATGTCTTCCTCACATTCTACCAGCCTTCTCTGGCTATAACACAGTGCAGGAGAGGATTAACTCCGTAGGCCTGGGTTGCTCAAATTGCAGATTTCTAAGAAAGGTCTGAATACCAATAACCTGTGTATTTTAGTTCTATGTGCTCCTTTGTAACTAGGTGACAATTACTTTAATCAGAGAAAATATAGGCAAAGCCTGTTTTTAAAAAGAGTGACAGAATGGTTAGGAGGTACTGGCCCACATACAGCCTCACCAGGTCTTTGATTCTAGCTCCTAAATACTCTTAAATCTGTCCTCTCCCCTCCATTAACCTAAGCTGGGCTAGTGCCTTCTCTCATCAGACAATTGCAATAGCCTTCTGACTAGTGTCCATGCTCATTAATTCCAGCCTGATGCCAGAGATGTTTTAAAAATACACTTAAGTCACTTTCCTCCATGCTTCAGTGTGTATTATTGCCCTTACGGTCCTAAGTCCTTAATGGAGCCTTTTACCTCTGGACTTTCACACACACCTTTGTGTGACATAATCCCCTTCACCACGTGATCTTCCTAGCAGCTCCCACAGGCTTTTCACATAGCAGCTTAAATATCGTGTCCTCAGGGAAGCTGCTTCCGATCAGCGCCTGGCTCTGTGACACACGCTTCTATCAACCCTATTATTTTACCTTGTAGCCAACAGTGCTTTGCACACTTATAGTTATTACCAATATTTACAATCATGTCATGCCTGTCTTCTCCACTACGGCAGAAGCTCCAGGAAGGCAGAGGCTTTTTCTACATCACTGTGACCTCAGCACTTTAATATTAGCATGGGGCCTGGCACATACCAGATGCTGAATAAATAATGTTTTCTGCTTGAGTCTCAGGAAGTGAAGGTCTACAAGATGCAGAGTAAAATAGGGGGTACTAGCTGGGCTCGGTGGCTCAGCCTGTAATCCCACACCTTTGGGAGGCTGAGGTGAGTGGATTGCCTGAGCCCGCGGGTTCGAGACCCGCCTGGGCAGTAAGACCTCATCTCTACAATAAATCAAAAAATCAGCCGGGGGTGGTAGCGCATGCCTGTAATTCTGGCTACTTGGAAGGCTGAGGCGGATGGATCGCTGGAGCCCAGCAGGTCGAGGCTGCGGTGGCTGGGAGCGGCCACTGCACTCCAGTCTGGGTGACAGAGTGAGACTCCAACTCAAAAAAAAAAAAAAAGATAGGGGGTGCTAAGGGCTTGGAACAAGAAAAGGTAGCCTATATGATATGTGGTCTGTTATAACAGTATTTCTGAAATGTTCTTTCAAAAATATATATATACACACATATACAATATAAACAATTCCACAGAGCACATTGGTAGAAAATATATTTTCAGCCGGGCTCGGTGGCTCAGCCTGTAATCCTGCACCTTTGGGAGGCTGAGGTGAGTGGATTGCCTGAGCCCGCGGGTTCGAGACCCACCCAGGCAACTTGGCGAGACCTCATCTCTCAATTAAAAAAAAAAAAGAAAAAAAAAGAAAAAAAGAAAATATATTTTCATAGGCTGAGAGGACTGAGCAAAAACTGTATGGCTAGTAGCTGGAAGGGCCAAGGCACGTAATAATTCTTGAGGATTTGAAGGGAAGGGAAGGGGCCTGCCAATGCACCATGCTGAGCCTCCCAGTGGGATTCCATGGCACTGATTCGGTAAATACCCATTTCTAGGAATGTTTGCCCTGGACTAACTGGGCATATATTTTACACATATGTTGACAACCTACATCCAGTGTTGTAGGAAGGATGTCCATTTTGAAATTTGGCCTAGGGCCCTGGCAGGCTGACAACCACTAAAAATATTTTTTGTCCTACGTTGCCAATGTCTAAGGCTTAGAAGATTGGTCTGGCCCAGTCACACTCAGTTCAAGCCTTGATCTCCTCTAGTCTAGGCTTCCTCTGGCTCAGCTCAATGATGTCCCATCCAGCCCTTGTCCTGGCTTCTGGAGCCCCTTAGAGACAATTTGGCCCATCTTTCCACATCTAGCTCCACCTCCTTAACAATGTCCCTGGTGGGCAGTTATCAAATTTATTGAATGCTTTCAGAGGTAAGAGGTAGCCTTCTACCTACCTCTTTTGTGAACATCTCATAAATATTTTCCTTATGTTCAATGAAAAGGCATTTCCTACTAGAATTGAAATACTACCAGATACCCATTCTCAAAAACATATGCATGTGTATGTTCAAACAACATACATCCTAAAAAATATTTTCCCAGAGTGATCTATTGGTGATGATCATAACTAGCTGAGTTGTAAAAGCATTTCCCAGTAAAAAGTAAAACACCCACCCGCCCACAGACATGGACGTTTCACAAGGAGGAAAAAAAAATCATTCAAAGGAGGGGAGAATATTGTGCATAAGGCAGGGAGGAAGGAGATTTATAAACTATTTCTTAGAAAAGTAGCATTTTAGTTATATTTCTAGGGTTTTGTTATATTTCTTTATAAACTGAAAAGCAGTTCTCTTCATTACATGTCTAATATTCTACTAAACCATCGAAAAGCAACTGAAGATGGTGGAAGGGAGGGGGAAGAGAAAAAGGAAGTATGTGCTGAGGTAGATGCTGAGGCACAAATGAGACCACATGTTTATCTCCAGGTGACTCTCTCTCACTTCTTCCCCACCCCATCCTTCCTGAGGGCTATTCCCCCAATCAAAGAAGCCTCGGGACCTTGAAAGGCCTTTGATGTATGGCAACTTTCATACTGATCGTCTATGTATTACCTTATGAGTTTTTCAAAAGCTTCCTTTTCTTTCCGCAAAGCAGTGAGATAGCGTTGTTCCTCAGTTGAACCTCCATAAATAAGAAAGTAAACCCTGCAAGTTAAGACAGAACTTTTAGATTGCAAAAATGTAGTTTTAATCCCCGAAAGGAACAGCAGAACATTTGAAATCAGCAACCTAGAGTGCTCAAATAATAAATATTTGATTAAGAATAAACGGCTCCATTCATCACACACTAACTAAAATTAAGCTGCCTAAACCCCACCTGTTAAAGGTCTTATTACCACATGCTTTTTTTTCTTTTGCCAAAAGGAGGAACAGAGTTTGGGTAAACGCCGAAGTATAACTAGAGGGATAGAATAAGTCTTTCCTCCTAAGTACAAACAAATCAAGAAACACAAATCTCAGAGGCTTCTCTTTTTTTTCAATTCTTTCAAACAATCATTTAAAAAGTTGGATAGGCCGGGCTCAGTGGCTCAGCCTGTAATCCCAGCACTTTTGGAGGCCGAGGTGAGTGGATTGCCTGAGCCCGCGGGTTTGAGACCCGCCTGGGCAACTTGGTGAGACCTCATCTCTACAATAAATCAAAAATTAGCCTGGCGTGGTACACTCGCCTGTAATTCTAGCTACTTGGAAGGCTGAGGCGGAAGGATCGCCAGAGCCCAGCAGGTCGAGGCAGCGGTGGCCGGGAGTGGCCACTGCACTCCAGTCTGGGTGACAGAGTGAGACTCCAACTCAAAAAAAATAAAATAAAATAAAATAAAAAATAAAAAATAAGCCGGGCTCAGTGGCTCAGCCTGTAATCCTGCGCCTTTGGGAGGCTGAGGTGAGTGGACTGCCTGAGCCCGCGGGTTCGAGACCTGCCTGCACAGGCGAGACCTCATCTCTACAATAAAATCAAAAAATTAGCCGAGCGTGGTAGCGCGCTCCTGTAATTCCGGCTACTCGGAAGGCTGAGGCGGAAGGATAACCGGAGCCCAGCAGGTCGAGGCTGCGGTGGCCGGGAGCGGCCGCTGCACTCCAGTCTGGGCGACAGAGTGAGACTCCAACTCAAAAATAAATAAATAAAATAATAAAATAAATTAATAAAAAGTTGGATAGTAGTTATAAAAGCCAGATTATGAAAGCTCTTGTTGGTGAAAAATCAACAAGTGAAATCTATATCTATATGACCTATATCTTCTCAAGTAAGTTCTTTTTTATTCATATCTTAACAGAACAGAGCTATCACACATTTTATATAAACACGCAGGCACAGAAGACATATGGATCAAAGAACAATTTGATGTATTTTCTCTTAGAAAAGGCTTTCTTTTCTATCTTGCTTGTTTCTGAGTTAAAGTAAGCACCTCCCCCGTTTCTTTTCTTCACTTCCTATCAGAAATATCAGAGGTATTTATCCTTTTTGAGCCTCAGTTTCTCTTTTGGACTTTATCTTTCTAGATTATATTTCTTCAAGGCCTAGACAGGGGAAGGATTATTGGGTAATGAGTCAAGAGACTTCAGTTCTCCCACAGATGTGCCATGTGGCCGAGGCCAGGTTATTTACCATTTCTGGGTTTCAGTTTCCCATTGACAGAGTGAGCAGTTGAACTCCCATATTTTCAGGCAAGAAAGAAGCTGGGCACATATAAGCTATGCAAAGTTTTTCAACAGCAATGTATGAAAAATTTACAAGTCTATAATTATTTTGCCAGCTTCATCTAAACTCTTCAGCCTGCATTACTTCTGATCCAGCTCCTCCATTCATTTCTACTCTGAAAAGGCTGTACTGGTTAAACTACTAGGCAGGTTTTTGGTTCAGACTGAGTTCAGGATATTAATTTTGCTATTTATTTCCCCTCAGATAATTGGAGAGCCAGAACATTATCTTCCTTGAGAGGCATCATTTTCTCATCTGATTATTTCTATAGATTTTTCATCTGATATTTCTTGAATCTCAAGAAAATTTGGTACAGTAATTCCCCCAAACATTTTGGTTTTATGTTGATGTTTAAGTAATTTAGTAAAATTTACAGGAAAGACATTTTAGCAGATTAAAATTATTTTGCTAAATCATATTTATAATAACTTTGGTAGAATTTAGACTATTATGAATTTCCTAGACTTCTTCAGAGACAGCGTCCCACAAGCTACAAACCAGTGCATAAAGAATAAGGTAAAGAACAGAGCAGCATGTAACAAGAACATGGGTAGTACTCTACCTCTCTACCAACAACGGTTTGTTGTTCAGCTATGGCACTTGATGTCCTTCCTATGCAACTTTCCAGATTCAACAGAAAGCAAAATAAGGTTTCATAAACATAAGTAGCATTATAACAATCTTTTAAATAAATAAATAAATAATAAATACACTCTTTTAAAGATAAGAAAACTAACATGCAACTGGTATAGTTTCTGTGTTAAGTCTGAAAGAACTGTGAAATTGAAAGCTTTAAGAAACAGCTAATATTCTTTATAACTTGCCTCAGAGGTTTCCCAGGTCTGCTTGCCCTATAAATTTCAAGCTGACGAACAAATGTTAGTTCTGTATCATAAAGAACCACGTATCTTGGCTCCACTTCATGGAGTACCCTTGTTAGAGCGTAGGGGTCGCTACAACCCAGAAGAGGATGGATGATAGTGAGGGGTTCTTTCAGGATTCCATAAGCAGCATCCGATGATACATTTAAGTCAAATTCTTCATGCTTAATTTCTTCAAAGCAGCTTTCTGGGCTACTGCTTATTTCTCTGCGGTGGTCTTCTTCAACATTTTCTTCTTTTTCCAGCTCTTCAGATTTTTCTATCATTTGAGTTAAAGTCAGCCTTGGTTTTTTCTTTTTGAGAGTCTTTTCTTTGGCAGAAGCCCGTTCTTTGTTTTGGGAGGTTTTGGCTCTTTTGTTAGATTTCATAATTCTCTTTGAACTGCCCTCTTTCCTAAATTTCCTCCACACTTCTTCAGCTTTGCTGTCCTTCTCAAAGGTTTTCCTGTAGAGCCTCAATAAGAAGGCCTCTGCTCCAACAGTGATATAGTCTCTCAGCTGGGAACATGTTCGATCATCACTTGCACAAATAAGTACTTGGCCTAAAATTAGAAAACAGTGTTATGTTACTGTTATCTCACTTGTCCTCCTATTCCCTGTGTGTTCCTTATCCCTCCCCACAATGGAAGAAAGGTTACTTGTTAGTATTAAAGACCCATAATTTTCAAATTGTTCAAAAAAGGTCTTAGGTATTTATCAAATGCTTTCACTTCTCTGACAGAATTATTAAAGTCTTTTAAGTAAAATCAAAGCTAGACTATTTAGAGTATTATGAAAGTACAATCATGGTATAATAGTGGCTTTAAAGAAGCTCTTTTTAATTAATACTTTTCTGGAGATGCTTATACACCAAAATAAATTCCAAGTGAATTCTAGAGTCAAGTGTTAAAAATTAAACCATAAAAAAAGATGACTATTCTCTATCTCGCCAAAAGGAGATGATTTTCTAGGTTTAAAAGCAATGGAAGAAATCTTAGAGACAATCAATATCTACACTTTTAGACTGACTCTATAAGAATAAAAAACTGCATTAAAAAAGCTAAGGACAAAAAACACTTTATGTAACATCTATTGATAAATGTTATATCATATGTATAATGAGACAATACAAACTGAAGACATAGTCTAAATTGGCAAAGGAGACTAAGACAATTCAAAAAATAGGGAAAAAAATGCATTTGAGAACATGTTGAACTCACAAAATTCAAAACAAGATAACATGTTCTCCAAATTAGTAAAATTGTTATTTATGAAATAACATATATATTATATAGATATAATATGTATACACACACATATAGAGAATTTTCAGTCATGGTTAGCTAAGCAAAAAAGAGATAAGCTATTATATTGCTAGGATAAATAAAAATTAACAAAAACTTTCTGTAAATCAATGCAATAATATGTCTCAAGAACTTAAAAAATGTCAATACCATATGACCCATTAGTTCTATACCCAGAAATAGACCATGACTTTAGCAACATGAAATAGAAAATATGTGACAGAAAAGTTGGGTAGAAATATGCTAATGTTAACAGCAGTTGCTAGGGGCAATTTTTTCCCTTCTCCCTTTTCTTTATCCTATTCACTTTTTCTACAGTGAGCATATATGACTTTGGGTCTTAAATCACAGCATTGTAAGTTCTGGAATAATGTCAGCAGCATATTTACTGATATAAGTATTGCATACTTGCCTTTCTTGCTCTGTAAGAGTTTAGACTCAACAGATTTTTTTAAAATCCAGTTTTACTTTCTATCTGACTTTATTTTTAAATTTATAGTTTGGGTTTAGTCTACTGTGCTATTCTACTAGTATACTCCACGTTTGAAGAGAGCAGCCCTAAAATTCAGATTTTTTTTCAAGAGTTAGGTCAATGCCACTCCATAGAAGAACTTAGGCATCTTTGGAAAGATACTTGCTGAAGATATAAAACAGAAGTCCTATTAAGCTTATTTCTTCTAGATTACAGATTTTAAGGCTGGTAAATATATGTGTGATGATTAGCTGAATCTTTAAATAGAAGTCCTAAGAACCCAACCAGTAAAAAATCCTGCCTTTATAAATATACAATGATTCAACCAGAAGAAAGTTACATCAAGTGAACAGAAATGAGGTTGCCACTAGGATTTCAGTGTTCATTTGGCATCTATTCATCTACCTTTTAAAACAGTAAATTACTTTCAAAGAGCTAACTAAATCCAGACTTATTTGATAGATTTTGAAAGCAAATGTTATTGCCTCCTTTTTTCCTACCTGGACCACCAAGGGCTTCACTCTCCTTATTTTCTGCCTCAATTTCTTTCAATACTTCAGTTAGCGTTTCCCACTTTGGGTTGCTTTCTAGGACCAGTTCCTTTTTTGTTTCTATACGGAAATAAAAGATAACCTCTTTCTATGAGATAATATTTACCCACAGAATATTCTATAGGCTTTTAAAACAACAGATAACACAAGTATCATTACATAAACCCACTTCTTTGAGCTTTTTTTACAACACTTGATGGAGTCTGCTTCCCTGAAAAAAGTCTACTTAAGGTCTAAATGAAAGATACTTCAGACCATTAATACAGGTTCATAATGCCTTAATAGAAGGTTACAAGCATGGTCATTAATGAGAGATGACTCTGTATTAGCTGTCTACTATGACACTATATATAAGCTGCAATACAAAATAAAGATAAACATTAATATTTATTCTTTCTTTCTTTTTTTTTTTTTTGGAGTTGGAGTCTCACTCCATTGCCCAGGCTGGAGTGCAGCGCCATACTCATGGCCACTCCAGTGTTGACCTGCTGGGCTCCAGTGATCCTTTTGCCTCAGCCTTCCAAGTAGCTGGAACTACAGGCGTGTGCTACTGCGCCTGGCTAATTTTTTGATTTATTGTAGAGACGAGGTCTCACCAAGTTACCCAGGCTGGTCTCAAACCCACGGGCTCAGGCAATTCATTGTCCTCGGCCTCCCAAAGTGCTGGGATTACAGGCTGAGTCATCGAGCCCAGCCAGTATTTATTATTTCTAAAGTCCCCATGAGTTTCACAATCCTGAACAAGGATAAAAGTAGCCAACAGCCAAACTTTTATTTCTGTAAGTATTCAAACACATCATTAATATATTCACTTTAGTTTTGAAACAGACCTTTAAAGCAGGCAGAATGCAAGCATTAACTCCATCCCATGTTTTAAAAAGTTAGTGATAAACTGGGCTCGGTGGCTCAGCCTGTAATCCCGCGCCTTTGGGAGGCTGAGGTGAG